ACGGCAAAGACAGCAGGTCCCACAAACCTCCGGAAAGGCTGATTCGACCACAAGATGTTCCGGGAACTCTACTGAATCTCGCGTTTACGAACCTCTCGAGTCCTGACCAGACACTGAGGCTGTCATCTTATAACCTGCTAGGCGCTCTCTGCAAAGCTTTCAAGTTCAGCTCTGCCTCAAGACTTGTCTGCACCCGAGGTCAGTTTAATGATATGGCTATCACTGATGTATGGTCGCAGTACTAATGCTTCAATAGATGTCTCAATCCCTCCCGATTCTGTTCAATTTATCGTCGAGATCAGTAAGCAGCTTGCTCAATCAGAGCCGCAACTAACGTCGGACTTCCTCACCGAATTTTTCGTCGGATGGGAAAATGTTCCTGAACACCAAAAAGCACAGAGCTTGGCCTACATGGCGCCATGGCTGCCCGGACTTCGAACAAGTGTGTTGGTCACCGAAACTGATCCTGATAAAGGTCGCGAAAGGGTTGCGATACTCTTCCGGAAACTCATCGATGTGGCGATTCTCGATCATACGCTTGTCTACACTTTGGAACAGGTCGTGTGGCCAGAAGTGGCCGATGACGAAGTGCTGTTGGACATCTTCTTAGATGAGCTTATGAAAACGGCAATGGGTTATGGAGTTCATGAAGAAACGCTTGACATTATATCATCCATTGTAGTTGGGATTGGAAGTGTAACGCTTCGTGGAAAGGTCATGGCCAGACTTCGCAAAGCTCTCAACCGCTCATCATACAGACCAACAAAATATCTTCCAGATAATGCAGCCTGGGCAGAGATCTGTATGCTTCTCCAGTTTTGTCTTGCTCTATCGTTCAACCATGGAGTGCAGACACAGCTATTCCTGCCCGAGGTGTTTCACATTGTAACCATGCTATCAAATACTGGCAATCACGCTGTAAGGATGCTGGTATACAAGCTGCTTATCAACTCGGTGCATGCGGCGTGCACCTGCTTCGTGCTGGATGATGCCAAGTCGAGTAGGCTGAGAGCAACTCTTGAAACTCTTTGTGAGCCCCGAGGAGACATTTTCCCAACACATCCGACTCTGACTCGCGAAGGGGCCTCTATCTCTACTATTCAAGACTCAGGGGCCACTCTCGCAGCAACAGAGCATCTGGCTGCCATTCTGTTCGATGTTTGTTCAACCGCTGCTCCCTCAGTTGATATTTGCAATGCATGGCGGTCACGCTGGATGAGCCTGGTTGCCAGTACCGCATTTCAGAACAACCCAGCAATTCAACCTCGAGCATTTACCGTCATGGGTTACTTGGCACGAGAGGAAGTAGATGACGATCTGTTATATCAAGTTCTTGTGGCACTGCGCAATAGTGTCAATCGCTTTGATGAGGAAAGCAACAGTGAAATGCTGGTATCCATCACAACATCTCTCTCAAAGATGATGGCCAAGCTGCCGTCTGCCTCGCGGTATGGCCTGCAGCTCTTCTGGCTTGCCATTTCACTCGTACGATTGGTCCCCTCGACGTTATTTAATTGCGCTGCCCAATTTCTTGAAGCAGTCTTGACGAACATCGGCTCTGCTGGTGATGTCCGGGGCAAAGAAATGGTTGAGCTATTACTCCAAGGCAGAACGCAACTTGAAGAAGCAGCGCTTCTTCTGGACGAAACATATGGCATTTACTTTAATCAGGAGAACTTCCATTTCGCGGTGTGTGCTTGTGTGGCCCGTGGCCTCACTGACACCATCACAAGGCCGTCAGCACTTCGTGTGCTTTCCTCCTTCCTAGCAATGACGACCTGGGTACCGGGCCCCGGAGCGAATAATAGTGATGCTATCGCTTCGTCCCCATATCTCGCACTAATTCGCGCGAGGGCAGTCAGCCCCGAAGAGCTCAAGGATAGCCTATGGCTCGCGGGTATCAGCCCTGAGGAAGCCGATGTTGCGCTAGGGGCTACCAAAGACAACCGAAACGTGGATAATTTCGAGGACGATGAGCTTTTGTTGATTACAGCCATGGAAATGGTCGATTTCCAGTATTTGGAGGATACAGTTCAGGCGCGCAGTCTCCAGTGGTTAAACGAACTGGCACAAGCGCGCCCACAAGTCATGCTTCATTTGTAAGTTATGATCACGCCCAGTGCATGGGTAATATGTGAAATGGCAGCTGACTAGAGTGATTTAGGTGTAGCACGATGCGCTCAATCCTCGACGACGTGCTGCTACATGGGCAAAACGCCACTACACTGGACGCCGCGCATACGCTACTCCGTACATTGTCATCAGACAGGAGATACGTGCGGCAATTGGACTCAAACACCAACGTCGCAGATGTCCTTGAAGGCAAAGGGTTTGGAGGGCTCTGGCAGTCGTGCTCAATGGGCTCAATGGAGGACTACCAGCGCGACTGCTTCGAGCTGACGGAGAAGCTGATCGAGGTAAGACGAAGCTCCATCTTCTTGAACGCTTTTCGGCTTAGGCTAACCATTTATCTAGCTCATTATTATTTAAATGTGATGGTATAACATAGCTACATAGGTACATTGAATATCCATATATATGAAAAATCAAATCTATAATTTTTAATTTCTCACTCACCCCTGCTCCGCCATGTGTGCCCTGAAATGCTTCCCACTTCCCTCCAGACCGTCGATTGCTGCTTGCCTATCTTACAGATGATAAGTTGCCCGACAATCGTAACAGATGTAATGAAATCATATCTCTACTTGTGCTTAGCTTAGTGTATATATATACATCCTGAGATGGGAGATCCAGCGCGTTTCTGATTATTGGGTCGGTTTTGGGTGAGGAGGCAGCTTTATCTACGCCCTTCCTCGTTTATATCGCAAGAGGATTGTACACAAAGATGCCGTAGAAGAGATTCCAATGGCAACCTCAGATATCATGGTGAAATAAGGGTGTATTATGTCTGATTTGTTTGCTTGTTTGCTACTAAGATAATCTGGAACCCTAGCTGGAAAAATGCATCAAGGTAGGTATGCTACATTGTCATTGAGTTAAGTATCTGGACTGGTGGCACCCTGACCGTATACAATCTCTGCAGCTCTGGATATTGGCACCAATCAATCCCGAAGTGCATGAACTTCAGCATTTATTGACTATCGCAACCTATTCAAGGCCTCTCAAGGTAAATACGTACTAAAAAGGCACCCCCTTTCCTTTGATACAGGCCACCACTCCGTGTATCTACATCCCCACAGACATATTTACCGATTTTCGTTACAGAGTGTTATAGTACATCTCAATAGACTTGACCTTAAAGACTGCGTCTTGTGCAGGTGGGCCCGCCGACCAACCGATGTCGCCGTTGGACCAGTTGTTGACGGCAAATACGCACCCTTGCCACGGGATGTTCTGGTCCGTCTCAGCCACCTTGACGGCATCGACATACCACTCGACGCGGTCGTAGAGCCAATCGATGCGGTACTCGTGCTCCTCAAAGGGATTGGCGGGTTTGGCCACAGGAATGGACGTCTTGTCAGCCTCGTTACCGTTGACAGCCTGATTGGTCATCCACAAGTGGTTGACGCCGCCGTCGGACGTGTTGTTGGGATCTGAGAGCCACTCAATATCGGACTCTTGCGTGTTGCCACCATAGGTGAATATGCCTGTGATTGATTAGTGCTGGGACGACATGTGGCTGTGTCCCTCGCGCGAGAGAATTGCCACGGCAGGCGTCACGGGTCAAGATGCATACCATTGCAAACACCAGGGGTCTCGGTCAGGATGGCGACGGTTCGGAAGCTGCCGTAGGCAATATTGCTCTCGATCGTGTCCACCTCGGCGCCGACATACTTGGTGCCGGCCGGCGGGTTCTGGCCACCAGGGACCCAGAGCTCCAGGTACCCGTTGTTGAACTTGGCGTTTGCCTGATCAGCCCGCCAGTTGAGACCAGTATCCCAGTTGGCGATCTGCAGGCCGTCGGGCAGGCCGTTCTCGAAGGTGTACTTGGCCGACTTCCAGAAGGAAATGCCGGATACGACCCAGGCACCGTCCACCTGGGGCGGAACGGGGGACAGGGTCAGGGCGGCGGACAGGCCAGCGCTGAGCACAAGGCTCCAAGCCGATTTGGTGAATGCCATACTTAAAATTCGGAAGACTACCCAGGGAGCAGGCTTACGGAATCCTTTTGTGTGTCCTGCCGGTGTCTGCCATCCTCCTATATATACCTGGTGGACAAGTGCGGCAAAGCAGCGTATAGCATTGATCTTGGCAGGAGGCGCAAGTGCCGGCCACGACTGACATGCAGACCGCCTCACAAGGATTTGTTCCAGGGGTATTTGCTGACATCGAGACGTATTAGGCTTTGGCGTCGTCTCAGCTGCCTCTTCAATGCTGTGGAGGCGGCTGGGCTACAGCCAAAGTAGAGTGGCGTAGGATTCTCACTTGTGGAGCTCAGAGACTAGCCCGGGGTAAAGAATGCTCTCAGAGTCCCGGACGGCAAGGAAGTTGAGTGAAACATCGTATGATGGACGGGACTGTTTGGGACAACGCTTTCCCTAACGCCGAGCCTGGCCTCAGTGTCAGATGACGCCGCTAGTATTGAACGTTAGTTAAACGTAGGAGACTGGATATGAATACGACCTTAGCTACTGACGAGTCATAATAGTATAGAGAAGTGGCCATTTGCCCTTGATCAATTGCACAGTGGGATGATTATGCACGGGTTCACTTGCATAAAGACGCGTTGGTTTGGGATTCTAGCTATGACGATATCCACCATGAGCACCTGATGTTTTTTCTGCTGGGGGCAATCAGTGCAGACAGAGGCTCGAGCAGCATGTCACATATCATTCAAGATGATATGTACAGCCGTAATAGAGAGAGACCCTGCCTTCAATGTTGTGACAATTTAGTAATTCTACATTGATTAAACTGAACCCGCCTTACCACTTTCTTTCAGCATCAATTACAGAACCTTAAAAGAGAAAAATTCAACAGTCTAGGAAATAGTATATATTAGTCTCTTGGTGAGACATCTCTCTTCTCTCAACTACTCTCTAAGTTGGTCTGGCCCCGAAGTATTTTTTCAAGCATACCTCAGCCGAGTAGCGCCGGTCGGGGTCGATTCGTGCCATCTTGCGAAAGCTGTAGGCCTCGGTCTCCTCATCCTCCGCAAATTCTTCAACAAGCTCGATCGGATGGAACTTGCTGTTGGCTGATGCGTCGCACTTCCTGGATCGCCTTCGCCAGTCCTTCTCATCCAAGATCTCCAGCATGGTTACGAAAAGGGCCCATATATCGACCTTGGGCGTGTTGGGACGTCTCTGAAAGATTTCGGGTGGTCTAAAGAGCCGAGTGCCACCGCATTCTTTATCCACACCGCCCTTGTAGGCCTGGCCGAAGTCGCAAAGAAAGAAGTCGGGTGATTCGAGGCTGCTGGCCATGGAGTAGAGGATGTTGCCGGGTTTCACATCATGATGGATCATATTGTGAGAGGCGACGCAAGCAAGGGCTTCGAGCATCTGGCGCAGGACCCTCCGAGCGAGGTCAATACGTGATGTTCCGGGGTACTTCTTGAGAAAACCAGCGAGTGAGCCGTCTCTCAAGCCCATGAACATCTTGATTGACCCAGTGTCCCGACCACTGGAGCCGTAAAACTCTACAATACGGGGCTACCCAGCCAGATATTGTTAGTAACAGCAACCTCAACAGGATAGTGAATGGCATGGAGAACTTACATGGTGAATCTTTGAGAGAGCTTTAACCTCCCTTTTCATAGACTTCTAGTCTCGATCGTCGGGAGGCACTCTCTGCTTGAGCTGTTTGACAGCCATGAACTCGCCTGTAAACAGGTTGATTCCCCTGCTTACCATTCCGAACCCGCCGGCACCAAGGTCGTCAAGTTTGGCCCATTTGATGTTAGCGTTCCAAATGGAAGGTGATTTTGTTTCTGGACGGGCGAGCCTGGGCGTGATGCCAGCACCACGCACTCCTATTTCTTGGTTGTCAGTAATGCCATGGGGTAGGGGAAGAGCTTTGGCAGCGGCAATTGCACCTCGGGGATGTCTGTCATTCCAAATAATGTTAAACTGGATGATGCCTTCGTGGCCCAGCTGTATTTGGGTATTGACACGTGGTAGAATAACCAAGCGGCGCGGCAAGTTGGGTGGAAATTCGGTTGCATTGGATCCGATAAAACGACTGGTGCCCCGAACTGAAATGTCATTGAACATAATGACCCCTGTATCTCGGTTAATCTCGAAGAAACATTGGAAGGCGGAAATTGACGGGTCGTACAAGCAGACATCGAGACGATGCCGTCCAATGCACGCAAGTGTCTTCAAGCCCCATACAGACGTTGCATGGCCGATTTCAAGAACGACCGTCCCGTACTCATCGATGGCCTGGAGGGGACTGTTATCGGCGTCTTTGAAAAGTCTTTCTGTCCTCCTGTTAACGGGTTCAAGATGGAAAAGAACATTGCCTCGCGCCCCAACCTTTGGTATGCCACTCGTCGTGCGTCGGCCACTTGTCTTGCGTTGACCACTCATTTTGTTTTGGCGACTGAATATCACGGTAATGAGACTTGTGAACGTAGGTATGAGGTGGTAAATGATAAAGGGAGAAAGATGATGGGGTTTGAAAGTTGGTTTCGAGAGAAAGTGGACTACGAATGTGGTTGAAGAAGGTGGGTTCGAAGAGGGTGAGGGGGGTTTTTATTCCTCAGCTCCCCAAGCTACAGATCCTACATCAATGGGTATGGTAATAGTGAATAAGTCATTGACACAGTGAGCTCAAATACAACAATATGTATGATCCGAAGGCAGGCGTGACAATAGGAACAATTAAAACACAACAATAGACATGGCGATAACAGGTAAAGTAGGGAAGCTCTCAGATATACAATACCAGTACACAATAATAGGCTCACTATCGTAGCGAAGAAATACACACCGCGCCTCTTCATGTGAGAAACTTATCAGCCACGTAGCTATTGTTTATTGTGTAATGAAGCCCCTGAGGTATCAATCAAGCAGTCCCAACACAATGCGACAGCAATCCCTCGAATTCGTAAGCTGTGTCGTCTTCCTGCAGCTCGTCTGGGATGAAGGTGGGCGGGATAGCCGTGACTATGACCAGGTGTTATGAGTAGGTGTCTAAGCGATAGATGCGGCCGACCGCAAGTAAGATGATTCGTGTGTCGTAGGCTCGCTAAGACTGGTTGAAGCTAGCTAGTAGCCTCTCAAGTATTCATGGCATAGGAAGACGGTTGAACGTTCCAGGCCCCGACTTTGACTCCCGTAGTGGTCTACACTTTGCAGAGAAATCGTCCATCAGGTAATCGTCTGCGTATCATGACAGCGCTTGCTACTGGGGCCCATATTCAAGCTTGATTGCCGAACTGAGATTCCTTTCAGGTCCATGCATCAAGCCTTGATGTATTCCATCTATTAGTTACCTAAGGTAGATACGGATGCCGCGCATTTGTCCATTCTTTCTAAGATCAAACATCTCAACAGAGTCTAAGCCCGTGATCAATACAAAGCTTTGAGATTGCTAAGTTGCCAACGAGATTAATGCTGTTGTGGGCAGAAGGATAGAATTGCAATGCCCACCATCTCTTTTTCTTTGGCTGATTTACGATAAGGTGTCCCATCAGGAATCAATCCATGTCGATCTAGGTAGGATGGTGCTACCTAGTCTTATATACGAAAAGATTTCTTCTTCTCACAATTTCGCAATACAATGTCATGATTTAATGGGGGGAACCGTCAAAATCCATCATTCCCTTGCCTGTCCTGGTCAGTCAGTCAGTCAGATGGCAAATCCTAATATTGTGTTCCAGCCACTTGTCAACAATTTCAGGCTTGGTGAGAATTACTTTTTGATATACTGATGGCCGCTTGGCCGCTGAATTCTGTAAAAAGACAGCCAACTCCATGTATCAAGTATCATGCATCATCATGTTGGCGTTTTGACATCCAGCGACTCGATCCAGTGAGCATGCCAAGACGTTCAAAAATGATAATAGTTCCCCCGTTGGATAAGCAGAAGCCCAACTTCTCTTTAAAACTTACAACAAGTAATCCGTATTTGTGTAGCAACAGATATGATAATGAAGCCATTTACTATTCCCGTTAGCGGTAGTCATCTCGTCGCAGTGACTCCTACGGACTTGACTTTCGCAATTCAGATAGTGCAACATTGGCAATGGGGGGCTCGAGGCTCGCGGTTATCAACAGTACGAGATTTTTGATCTTCCAGTCAGTTTCGCAAGCTATCTTCCTTTTCTGGTTGATTGAATGTGGCAGGGGCTTAGAAGTCACCAAGCAACCCAGCTTCTAGTCTACCTACCATTTGCCAAGTGTCAAGTCTTAGCTAATATATTGAGGTTTAAACCGAAATCAGAGAGGATCTATGCTGGCCAAACATGTTTATTGCCGTCCAAATGCGAGCTTTTCCAGAAAGAAGAAAACAAAGAAACAGAAGATGTCGAATGTGCTATATGATCTGCAACTTCTTTACCTCGTGCTGGCACTGGAAGAATCTCATACAGACCCCCGGAGGGAAAAGGAGAAATAATGAAATAAAGGCAATTGTCGAAATGATTCTCAACGGCGTGTTGCGCACACCAGATGCAGATTAGAGGGGATCATGCAACCCCCGAAGATAGAGAGCATCCAAACTCTCCTCTCAGTCGCCCAGGCATTCCATTCTATTGTTGTTTCAGATGGCCCGTTTCCACACATCTTTAAATATGCCGCTGGTGGCATAGACTGCCAGAAGACTGGCCAGCGAATCAGGGAGCAGGCCTCCGTCTACGCCCCAGTGCACCGTCACAGGAGCCCACGCCAGGTTGATCAGAAACTGGCTCCTCCATTGCTGCATGTCCTGTCCTCCTTCTTTTTGTTCCTTAGGCGATGTTGTATCTCCTCGCTTTGTCATCCTTTTATACTCTATAACGCCCCGGGCCAGATCAAGAAAGGTGAATACGGCCCACGCCCTAACGGCTGCAAATGACAGCTGGTTTCGTGCTTTGGATGGCAAAGTTAGGATCTTTTTTGAAGCCAGGCATGCTGCCCCCTCGCATAAGTGGAATGAAATCATCGAAACGTGCTGCAGGCCTTCCAGCACGATGTCTTTGCGGTCAACGGCGAGGTTTTCTTTTCTTCTCCGGCGTACTTCCCGAAGAAACTGTCCGGTCCCAACAAGCACATCGAGCAACCCAAACATTCGATTGATCATCTGCCACTCGTCCAGGAATCCCGTCAGCGTCTGAAAACGACCAGCGGCTTTGGCCATCGTAGGGCAAATGGCCTTGATCCACGCCGACTGTGAAGAAAGCCGCGAGATCTGGGGAATTTTAGAGAGTGACTCTTTTAACAGCTCAAGCAAAACCGCAAGTAAGCGAGATGTCTCGCCCATGAATAAAAGAAATGCATCTTGACCTTGACGCGATTGGACGGCTTGTTGAAGGTGGCACAGGAATTTAGAGAGAATGACAGCCTTCCTTTGAAGGACAGACGAGGTGGATGTGGCCATAATGGTTTATGATGCTAGCAAATATCTGATTTACGGGATAAGAGACAATGAACAGAATGAATAACAATGAGCCTGGTAAGCTTCTGAAGCATGTAGAATCCCAAAGGCGAGGAGGTTTCCGAAATTCCGATGCTCAGATTAGGCCGTTCCGAAACCACATAATATCCTGATGGAGCCAGTCGCCCAATCAAAACGTGAAGCGAGTCTGGAGGCACCATTCTATGATGACAGCAATCCTCGCCCTTCCGCCACAGGTATATCCTGCCATTCTAAACTATTCTCTCATGTCAAATTTCAGAGTAGCTGGGGCTTCCCCGAAATTGGGAAAGGCGAAAAAAGGGGCTTGCTTGTATGGCCATAATTTTCCATGGCTTCTGGTTGGTTAGTATTTTCCTCAAACACTGGGGCGCTGCAAGCAGTTGCCTGAAACCGTTATTATCATTAAATTCGAGTAGGATATTATATATTACTCTGCTTTTAGAGTTGAAACCTTGGCTGAATGAGTAGTATTGTTCTTATGCTATCAGCCCAGGGAAACGTTGGGCTCCTCAGCTTCACGTCAACACAACAATCTACGTTGCCAATTGAAGGCTCTACTCCTAGCAGTAAAAGTAGCAACAAGCCATAGCTGTGGAGTGAAGCGTCTGAGTCAGTGGATAGTGCCTTTACTCAAGCCATTAAACAGGATAGCTTGAAGGCTTCGATCAAAAAAACTAAAAAAAAAGAAAGAAAGAAAGGAAGCAATAATAACGCGCCGCGCAACATTAAGAACACTGTTGCTCTAGTAGCTGTAACACATCATTATGCGTCATTTATGTCTTTTAGAACCACGACGGACCTCTTCAGCTCCCGATCTTAGTCAAAACTCAACCGTGAGACGCGTGTAATTGCCGGAAGCTGCAAGAGTTGAAAATTAGGCCCAAGTATTTGCGATGTTAGTCCAAATTCGATGTCCTGGGGATATTGTAGTAAGTAGAGGCACTGATAAGTGTCATAGCATCAAAAAGAAATAAACAGGGGTCTAAATTGGCCAGACTTGCAGCTATTCAACTAACAGACAGATAAGTAAAGATCAGAACAAGAAACTGGAAGCTGATGATCGCCGATCAAGCGCCCAACAAGGGACAGTATTTACTAGGAAGGTGATTTTTACGAGAACGGCTGATGAGTCGCTACTGCAAGCGATCTCGACAAATATAGCACCCATCGAATCCACATGAGTAGACACCCAATTTCACTTGCAGGAGTGATATCGATAGCCAGTGTCCTAACATCACCTGTCACCCAGCAGGCTGTCGCTTTTCCAACAAGGCCCGTGGGAGATGAGTGCCGTGGCAAGATACACGCTGCCATTCATTGGAATCGTTCGCGTAATTTCCAATTTGATATCGCCGGGGGGAAATCAATAATCAATGGACTTCAGTCAAGCCCAGATATCTCTTTGGGCCCAGCCAGGGAACGCTTCATCACTTAGCTCCCATGGAGACGCAAGATACATATCCAGTAGCGTTGGCAAATTACTTCATAATCCATTCCCGAGTCGCTGATAACGACGGTGGCCCCTACTCACTGGAGAGCAATGATGAGACACGGGCCATGTTGCATGTTTGCTGACGGTCGTCGCATCTTGCCTGTTTCAGCCGCCATTGACATAGATGCGGCGCTTCTCCACTCGATCCACCGGCAGATATAAATGCTCAAGGAGTCATCTGGCCGTTCTTCCAAATCGCAAATCACACAAGGATAGTCATGGCACCAACCGAGCGGCCGTGGGATGACGACACCGTTATGGTCGGTCGGAACGACTTGCGCGACTTCAACGAAGAAGGGCTCATTCCCCTCCCCGACGAGAAAGTGGAGGCGATCCGTGCCTGGCTCCAGCCGACTTCCTACAGCGCAGAGAATAGTGAGTGCAGCAAACATCGGGCCTCGCACCTCGCTGGTACAGGCGATTGGCTTTGGAACGCCCCTAGCTACACAGAATGGCACGAGAGCCATGAGCATGGCA